GGAGCCGTTAGAAAGATAATTGAGCTTCTTCTAATTGGCTTTCAGAAATATTGTTGAAAGAAAGTCTTATTACTGTTGGGTAGAGGCAACTCTGGATCCCTACTAACCAAACTTCACCACTTATTGATGTCAGAAATCTTTCAGAGCTCTTGATGTAATCAATAAAATAACATTAAAATCACTCCTCTGCCTCCTGAAGCCCCTTGTCTGCTCTGTGGGAGATAGCAGAGCTCATTTTCCAGCCTCCTGGAATGAAATAAGCTGCTTCTGTGAGCTTGCAAACTTCATCCCTGATTCATTCATCCCAGTCACACAACCAAACTTGATGTTTTTACGGTAAAAAGGCAAAGTTTTTAGTCTTAAAAAATCCACTGCTGGATATTTCCCTGGACAGTTAGGTTCATTTCTGCCCAGGAGAATTCCTCCACAGCATTTATGATTATGAGAGTTTGTCTAAATTACATCAAATAAAATCACCTTAAACATGAAAGTTGTCATAAGAGTCATGAGAAATAATGAAGGCTACAAAACTTTATTGATTCCCATGCTGCGCTCTCAACCCTTGACCTTTGAGCAATTGTTTAGTCATTATAACCACTTCTCAGACCATTTCCTTCTCTTTCTCCTTCTCCCTTTTCTTAATTCTAATACTATTGTGTTTTTCCAACACCTGAAAGGTCGATTTAGCATTTAAATTCTGGTTCTGGGTGAGCAGCTTAGCATAGGTGCAATCTGGAGATGTGTGTCTGTTAGGCCTGCTGATATGGCAAGCACAGTGACCTCAGGTTTTATGTAGTTGTGCTTGAAGCCATCTTGACCAGTTTAGGTTAATATGCCTCTAGCCGCCTTACAGAATTTTGTGCATGCTCAAAACCATGAGTTTACTCTAATTCTCTAATCTACAAGCGGTTTCCTGTCCTTGTTTCTTAGCAGAAACCATTTATCTACAGTCTCTGACCAAGACATGCTTGTTTCAGCCTCCAGCACCTCTGACGTCATTCGAGTCAAGCTCTACAAGAAACCCAGAGTCATAAATAAACCCAGACAGATGAAAGCAGATTATTCTGCACATGTCTCCAAATACTTCAGATACTAAAACATAATTGTTGCATTTTCTACTGTAAATGCAAGTTGTTTCGTCATTCACCTGTTAAGCATTGGACACAGTTCAACTTTTTATTTTAGACATTCTTTAAAATGTTTTTTCTTTAATCAAATGAATGTTAGCTGGGCTTAATTTCCCACTGCTTGAAAAAGTTATCTTCCCCCCAAATAGCTGCACTTGATCCCTTTTTGAGAATTTTCTGGACCAAAACAGCTCCTGGTTCCATGCTAAGCTAATTAACGTTAAGTCAAACTGGGACACATTTGTTGTCTTCAAGGGTCTTGTTTTGATGACCTTATTTAGAATCATCATGGCGGCTTTAATCATGTCTTCACTGCTTGTTATGCCTCTGTAATTAATAGAAAGACAGCTGACCTGCTTTTATCAGATCAAACAGATTTAAAAACCTGTGTGGGGACTAAAAATAATAAAACTGAAATTTGTAAAAGCCTAACAAACTTTCAGGTTAGACAGAAATGAATTTGTTGAGGGTCATTGAACTGATCAGTTGGTTTCAGGGTTCCAAAGAAAACCTCCATTCACTGATTTCAGTGGGTATGCTTACAGTAACACCCAGCATGCATCCGCTTGCTTTGTTTCAGGCTGCAGCTTGAGTGCAGTTACTGTCATAAACAAAACAAAAAAACACATTAAGTATTGAATTCCTTTAATGGCAATTTGGAATTATGTTATTACATGAAAATACTAGAATAGCAGAAGCTAACCTTGCTAGCTTCTTATAAGGTTTATAGAAAAAAACTAAACAATGAATAATGGTGAAATTCTAGAGGAGTTTTTTGCTGGGCAGAGAGAGAGATTTAAGCAGAAGTTTGCAAATAATGAAGAGGATCAAAGTTCTTACCTGTTCTGATAGAGATCAGAACCAGAATGAAACTCTCAGTGAGTTTTACAAAAGGCTGCCAGCTGTAGAAAAATTGATCCGGTAAGTTATGGTTCACTTGTAAAAAGACAAAATATTCTCATACATAAGGGGAAATATGATTCATTTGAATACCCTAAGATTAGTTTTACAGTAACACTTAACAGCCTTACTGTGACACAAATGGCCCTCTGTGCAGGTGAATCCTCTAAGAAAGAGAGTCGAATCCATATTGTGATCTACACCCAGAGAGAACCAATCAGACAGATCTGACCCTGATCTAGACCCGCTGGCTAAACGTTACGGTGTGATTTTTTAAGATAATGATGAACAATTGAGCCAAAACCTAACCTAATGTAAGCCTGAGGATAAAGATAAAGGTTTTATTACTATTAATATTTATATTTAATATTAGTTGATTAAACTTTGACATTTCATGTGTTTATCATATTTTTTATATATATATATATATATATATATATATACACTGGAAAAAATCTAAATCTAGATAAGTCATATTTTCTTAAAACAAGTGCATTTGTTCTTGAATTGAGGAGGTAAAAGAAACATTTTGCCAATGGAACAAGATGATTTACATTTAAAATATGAAAACACAATTGCATTGTCTTATTTCAAGTGCATATTATTTGATTATGTTTTTTTAAGAGTAAAAATACTCATTCCATTGGCAGATGATTACATTTACCTACTCAAATTAATAGTAAATACACTTAATTTAAGACATTTTTGCTCATTTCTAGATTGTTTTGCAGTGTAAAATGTAGATATACAGGTGCTGGTCATAAAATTAGAATATCATGAAAAAGTAGATTGATTTCAGTAATTCCATTTAAAAAGTGAAACTTGTATATTATATTCATACATTACATACAAACTCATATATTTCAGATGTTTATTTTGTTTAATTTTGATGATTACAAATGACAACAAATGAAAATCTCAAATTCATCATATCAGAAAATTAGAATATTGTGAAAAGGTTCAAAATTGATGGCCCCTGGTGCCACACTCTAATCAGCTAATTAACTCAAACCACCTGCAAAAGCCTTTAAATGGTCTTTCAGTCTAGTTCTATAGGCTACACAATCATGGGGAAGACTGCTGACTTGACAGTTGTCCAAAAGACGACCATCGACACCTTGCACAAGGAGGGCAAGACACAAAAGGTCATCGCTAAAGAGGCTGGCTGTTCACAGAGCTCAGTGTCCAAGCACATTAATAGAGAGGCAAAGGGAAGGAAAAGATGTGGTCGAAAAAAGTGTACAAGCAAGAGAGATAACCGCACCCTGGAGAGGATTGTGAAACAAAACCCATTCAAAAATGTGGGGGAGATTCACAAAGAGTGGACTGCAGCTGGAGTGAGTGCTTCAAGAACCACCACACACAGACGTATGAAAGACATGGGTTTCTGCTGTCGCATTCCTTGTGTCAAGCCACTCTTGAACCACAGACAGCGTCAGAAGCGTCTTGCCTGGGCTAAAGAGAAACAGGACTGGACTGCTGGTGAGTGGTCCAAAGTCATGTTCTCTGATGAAAGTAAATTTTGCATTTCCTTTGGAAATCAAGGTCCCAGAGTCTGGAGGAAAAGAAGAGAGGCACTTCATCCACGTTGCTTGAAGTCCAGTGTAAAGTTTCCACAGTCAGTGATGGTTTGGGGTGCCATGTCATCTGCTGGTGTTGGTCCATTGTGTTTTCTGAGGTCCAGGGTCAACGCAGCCACATACCAGGAAGTTTTAGAGCACTTCATGCTTCCTGCAGCTGACCAACTTTTTGGAGATGCAGATTTCATTTTCCAACAGGACTTGGCACCTGCACACAGTGCCAAAGCTACCAGTACCTGGTTGAAGGACCATGGTATCCCTGTTCTTAATTGGCCAGCAAACTCTCCTGACCTTAACCCCATAGAAAATCTATGGGGTATTGTGAAGAAGAAGATGCAATACACCAGACCCAACAATTCAGAAGAGCTAAAAGCCACTATTAGAGCAACCTGGGCTATCATAACACCTGAGCAGTGCCACAGACTGATCGACTCCATGCCACGCCGCATTGCTGCAGTAATACAGGCCAAAGGAGGCCCAACTAAATACTGAGTGCTGTACATGCTCATACTTTTCATGTTCATACTTTTCAGTTGGCCAACATTTCTATAAATCCTTTGTTTTTATTGGTCTTCAGTAATATTCTAATTTTCTGATATGATGAATTTGAGATTTTCATTTGTTGTCATTTGTAATCATCAAAATTAAACCAAATAAACATCTGAAATATATGAGTTTGTATGTAATGTATGCATATAATATACAAGTTTCACTTTTTAAATGGAATTACTGAAATCAATCTACTTTTTCATGATATTCTAATTTTATGACCAGCACCTGTATGTGCATCAGTGGCAACCAGAAAGGAAGGACACAGTCTGTAGACTGAAGGAGATTAGTAAACATGCTTTCCTTGACAGTTTTAGTGAGGAAACACACTTATCCTTTTTAACAGCGATCCTTGTTCATAAATAATTTCAAATTAATTGTTTCCTCCCTAATCCAAAGAACCAGAAGACATTAAAAAATCAAAGCTCAGGATTTTTGTATCTAAAAACAAGAGGAATATGTTTACCTGAGATGAACAAAACAACTGGATTGTCTTTATTTGCCTTGTTGGAGTTTTCCATCTTCATCTTTGCTCTTCTTAAATCTCTGAGCTGCAGCTATGCTGTTTTCACCCCAACAGACAGTTTTTTTCTTTTCCCAGTGGACGGGAATTGTTGTTCTAAGAGTTTGTTTTACCTGCAAATGTTTGGTGCTGAATCATAGCACAGTTTTCCCTTGGTTGTTCATTTCACAGGCTCTCTCCCTGGAGTTCCTCGCCTTGCTGCTTTGATTTAAACAGAGGGTAAACTTTGAGAAAACAAATGCGATGCAGAAAATCTCTGCTGAAACCACATGCAAACACGCCTTCTGGCTCCTTCCTTTACTGTAATGTTCTGTGTTTCAGAGAGCCCGCTGACGTTTGCAGTTCAGCTGGACAATGCTGTGGAGATGATTAGGGTGTTGAAGAACGGAGGAGCTCATCTGGACTTCAGGGCCAAGGATGGCATGACTTCCCTTCACAAAGCTGCCCGCTCCAAAAACCAGGTCATACTCATGGTGAGAAAACATTATGCTTCCTTTTCTTCGTCTCATGCTTATCGTTGTATTGAATACAGGTGGGCTAAAAGCAGGGGTGTCTTTAGGATCGTATATTTGGGGGGACATAGCCCTGGTTAAAATGCCTTAGTTTATGTGAAATGCCTGCGCAAAAAACATTTTCGTTCAAGGTTCCTGAGCAGATAGCTTTGAATAGCAGATAGCAAAATAAGCCCCGTTTGAGTTTACTTTGTTAAAATAAATAAATAAAATATTTAAAGCCTCTGAAAATAGCAGGTTAAAACGTGCTTTTCAAACATGGTTCGACCCTCTAACAATCGGTGTTTGGCTCGCTTCCAAACTGGCATAAAAAGATGGTCTAACCCCTCGCTGGCCTTTCTCCCCCCACTGATACATGTCTGGTGATATCATCACACTGGGTTAGCGTTGATGAAGTCACCAGTGCGACAGAAATCATGAAAGCAAACAATGGAGAGTAAAATGGAAGGAAGCCAGTGCATAGTCAGTGTGCTTTATTGTTTCTCTCTTTTATCTGCCTGAATCCCTCTCACCAGAGCTGCTCCATGTTTATCGAATAAACAGAGTTGTTTTTGCTTGTTAGATCACTGGTGTCAAGTAATTTAGGGGGTCGACCCAGCTCTGGTGGAGGGAGTTGATATACTGTGCAGTGATAGCCTAAAACATCACCTCCACATGGAGGAATGGGCCAAAATACCAGCTGCTGTGTGCAAACCTGGTGAAGACTAACAGGAAAAAAAAGAAATATACAGAGCTGAACTCTTCTTATTGACCAAATGCTTATTTTACAACATAATTTACAAATAAATTACTGAAAAAAATCTCTCAATATGATTCCCTGGACTGTTTTCCTCCTTTTATCTGTCTTATTTATAGTTTAGCTATGATGAAAACTATAAACGTTGCTAACCTTTAGTAGGAGAATTTTCGCAATCAGGGGCTTAATAAATGCTTTACTAAATCTCTAAGTCAACTTGGCGAACAGCTTTGATTGCATAGCCAGGCAATATTTTTTTAATTTTCTGTTGTTTTATTCAGGTTTTGTTTCAATACAAGTGTGGTTTTTATTACTCTATTTAGAAAAGTTGTATATGGAGGATAAAAAGTGCCAAAATTAAATAAATAAATACATCATTAAATAAATAATTAAATGTGTCAATAATTAATTAAATGTGGAATTAAATTAATAAATGGGTCATTCATTAATTAAAACCACGTCACTAATATAAAGTGCCACAATTAAATAAATAAATACAGCGATAAACAATTAATTAAATGTGTAATTCATTAAATAAATAAGGAATTAAATATATATAAATGTGTCATTAATTTAATAAAATACGTCTTCATTTTATTAGAAAAATCTATATAATTATTTCAGTGTGCATTTAATTATTTCATGGTCCTGTGTCCTATTGCATTGAAACCATTAAAGGAATCTGTCAAACTCACCCATCAAAGTTAGGGGGCGGGGTTAACGCGAATCGAGTCTCTTTAATCGATTTGCTTCGCCTTAATGTTCAGGGTGACCAATCAGGTGTTAGATAACTTTATATTAGTGACGTGGTTTTAATTAATGAATTACACATTTATTTATTTAATTCCACATTTAATTAATTATTGACACATTTCATTATTTATTTAATGCTGTATTTATTTATTTAATTTTGGCACTTTTTATCCTCCATAGTTGTAAACTACGTGGGTGCATTTTAATATATTTTACCTTTAATCCACCAGGAAGACAGAATAAGACTCAAAGTTTCCTAAAGTCCCTTTTCCTTCTGCATGGTGTGATGAAAAAGTTGATTTGATGGATGTCTAACTTCATCATTTGGAAAAAAAATTAAGCATTTACTGAAGCCTTGTGGCATTGCATTAAACACAGTAGGACAAACTTTAAATGGAAAAACCTGAACGTGTCTTCTCTCCCTCTTCACCCAGACGCTGCTGGAGTTGGGAGCATCTCCAGATTACAAAGACAGCCGCGGTCTGACGCCTCTGTACCACAGCGTGGTGGTGGGAGGAGACCCTGGCTGCTGCGAGCTCCTGCTTAACCACCACGCCTCCGTCTGCACCCAGGATGAGAACGGCTGGCACGAGGTTCACCAGGTACACACAGAGAAAGAGGTTGCTTCTTTTTGGTTCTTGCAGCAGTCTTTCTTGGAAGACAAACCGTTCTCCCCTCGGCTTTGGCTCCCAGTCTTGGCGGCTGTTTCCTCAGTGAAGCAGATAAAGCCGTTTAAAGAGTGGCCCTGCAGCAGCGACAAACTCTGAGCTTCTGCATAGCCCGTATACACACACACACACACACACACAAGTGTGTTCAGGCCTTTGGATTCATCCGATTGCTTATCTCCCTCCCTGTCGAGTTGCCAAATCTCAGCCTTTCTCCATCCGTCCTGTTTCAGGCGTGATAACAATCAGCTGTCAACCAGCAGCAGAACACAGTCAAGGTGATGCTCACTCTGTCTAATATTCTAGGAAACGATTTCTCCTGAACCTACGCTTATGACCAGATTAAGAAAAGCTCCACTTTACAATTTATTTACGGCTGTTTGTATTTAGTTGCTCAGAATCTTACTGATAACAACATTATTGGGGTGGAGATGAGGTGAAGCAGTGCTACAGCATCAGCCCAGCTTGTGTTTCTATAGATATTCTCCCAGCGGTGTGTTTTCAGTCTGTTTAAATCAATCCGGCTTCACCTTACCGACCTCTGACATTTCGCATGAGGATCAGACATCGACTCGACTACAAGCTGTAACTCAGCTGTTTTTGCATCGCTTATGTTTGCAAGCTTGATGACTTTTCTTGCAACATAAGCAACATCCATTTTTAATGCCCTCACAGTGCATTTTAAAGTTTGATCACCTAACTCTTAATCTCCTTTTTTTTTCGTAGCCTAAGCACTTTGCTGTCTCTTTCAAAAATGTTAAAACGTGATATATTCTCTGTAAAACTGTAGAAAATCAGATCAGCGTCCATTTTTATCACCTATCCATGACTTTCTCTTTACATGGGGCATAAATGTAATAAATTCTCCAGAATTAATGACTGCAGCATTGTGAGGACAGACCTCACAATAGGGTCTTATATGCACCCTCAGGAGGATCCATAGAAACTCTTAGAGGTTAAACCTTGTATTTGATTTCAATAGTCTTTAGAGAGGGGGGCAAACACATAAGTAGAGTATAGCTGAATATTATGTTAGACTAAACTAAAATCTATTAATCTCTCAGTAATTTAAAAACCAATTCAGTTCATAAACACCTGAACTTCCAGATGAGCAGCTCTTTGTGACCCAGTTAAATTAGTGTTTATTGACCTCTTTAACTCTACAGCCGGGTTTAAACCGAGGCTACCAGCTGCTCCCTGGCTTCGAGATCTTCCCTGCTTCAGGCTGACATCTACTGGTAATGGTTTGACACTGCACGGGAGTTCAGGCTCTGTTTAAAAGTCAGCTGCTCTGTGTCTGTGTGCAGGCCTGCCGTCATGGACATGTGCAGCATCTGGAACATCTGCTGTTCTACGGAGCCGTGATGAGCGCTCAAAACGCCTCGGGAAATACCGCCCTGCACATCTGTGCCCTCTACAACCAGGTGAGCAGCGTGCAGACTGCGTTCATCTACAATAATGTTTGGGTTTCATGCATCTCCTTTGGGGAGAGCTGCTGTAAATGAGAGATGTTGTTGAGGAGATGCTATAAAGAAAATAATTTTGGACTGGAATGTGTTTCATCTTGTATAAAGTTTTGCAAGAAGATAATGTAGATATAGCACGTGATAATTTATTGTTTACCTTTAAAGTATTACATGATAAAAAATGTCCTTTAATAATGTTCTCTCATAAAAACAAAAATCAGAAGCCCCATGGATCACAAAGGGTTTGCAAAATTTCTGCAAAAAAAAGAACAAACTATATAGATTTCATAAAACATAGAACTTTGGAGGTAGGTAAGAAATATAAGAAATATAAGAATAAATTTACTGATATTCTACAAATACCTAAACAGGATTGTAACAGTAAATTATTAGATAGAAATAAGAAAAATATCAAAGGGATTTGGAATGCATTGAATCATTTTATCAAGAAAGACTGACAAAATGAAATTTCCCGTTTATTGTAAATAATAACAATTTTGAGGACATTAATGACGTTGTTCATAATTTGAATACATATTTTGTGAGTGTGGGACCCAAACTGACAGAAAAAATCCTGGCTCCTACAACAACTGGAGCTCTATCTCTAAAGGGAAATTAGAGATATTGTCAATAACTGTAAAAGTAAGAGGTCAACTAACTCTGATGGCATTGATATGACAGTAATTAAGAACGCTATTGAGGAAATGATTCAGCTTCTGACATACATCTGCAATCTGTCATTTCAGTCGGGTAAACTTCCAGAAAAGATGAAAATTGCCACAGTTATTTCACTTTATAAATGTGGGGACAGACACCATCTCACAAATTATAGACCTGTTTGTCTACTTCCACAATTTTCCAAAACTTTGGAGACATTATTTGTGGATAGATTAGATACATTCATTAATAAACATAAACTGCTTTCCAAAAATCAGTATGAATTTAGATCACAAAGATCTACAGCAATGGCTGTCATTGAATTAGATTATAAGAAATCTGCAGTTGGTGTATTTATTGATCTGAAAAGAGCGTTTGACACAATAAATCACAAAATATTAATCTGGATATTGGAGTGTTTTGGCATCCGGGGAGTAATATCGCTCTGGCTGAAAAGTTATCTAAGCAACAGGCAACAATTTATGGAAATGGATGAAAGCCAGTCATCTTGCTTGGACATTGTTTGTAGTGTCCCCCAGGGGTCAGTATTGGGGCCAATGTGTAGACAATAGTAACATCTTTTGTACAGGTGATAATTTGGATCAGCTTGGTTGGTATATTAACTTAGTTTGATATTAATAAACTAGCATTTAATTTGAATAAAACCAAGTGTATATTGTTTGGAAAATGTGAAATTACGTATCCAGATAGATGATGTGACAGTAGAAGAGAGTTAAGGAAATTGAGTTCTTGGAATTAAAGAAAGACAATAAGATTAGCTGGAGGCATTCAAACTAAAATATCCAGAAGTATTAAGTTCTGGATATTTCATATCCTGCTGCACTTCATATTCTGTATTGTGCACTAATATTACCTCACAGAGTTACTGTTAGGTCAATTCAATGATGATTGTAAAATGAATGTATGTACATATAAGCATTGAAGCAAGGAGATGCTTCACTCTGCCTTGTGATTCAGTCAAGAGGAGAGCATCCTGTCTTATGACCTGATCAATTGTTCTGTCAGAACAATACTCTATTTTGTAACCATGTGTTATGTTCTGTTAATAAAAGATGACTGCAGGAGGGGGGTCGGGGAAAGAGTTGAAAGTTGGGTTCGGTTCTTTCCACTCCTGCAGGAGCTGTTTGAATCTCTTTCCTGTGTGGACTCAGTTTCTCTTTTACAAACCTACATTTTTGAACCTAACAGTTACTGTGTTGAAATATTGAGCAACACCTTTAAAACCTCACTGCGACTGTTATGCACATTACAAAAAAAGGGCATCAGAAAACCCCCAGACCAAATATGAGCGGAGTGGCGTATGCCGTACAATGCAGCAAGGAATGCTCTGATCTTTATATTGGAGAAAGCAAACAACCTCTCCACAGACGCATGGCCCAACACAGAAGAGGGACTCTGCGGTACATCTACACCTTATGGAAAGAGGACATGCTTTTGAGGACCAGAATGTTCATATTTTGGACAAAAAGGATAGGTGGTTTGAGAGGGAAATGAAGGAAGCCATCTATGTTAAAAAAGAAAAACAATCATTGCAACCCCAACCCCATTACAGCGGACCAGAGCACCTCGCCTCTTCAGCCAGGTCAATAATTTCCTTTAATGACCCCCATTTCAGAGATATAGACAGGTTTTGTGTATTACATGTTAACAAAGAAACAAAAGGACCCCCTTCCCTAAGGGGTGGACCTGCTCGTCAGTTTCAATTTACATGTTTCTAAGCAAAAACAAGGCTTTGCTTTGGTCACTCTATAAAGCCTTGAACTCAACGCTATTTCAGACATTTAGAATTGAAGAGGCTTCTGGGATGGGTAACGAAACATCTTCAAACTTGGAAACAATATCCAGTGAATTTTTTTTTTTTTTACTTTTTTGGAAATGAGTATGACCTGAATGACTGAGAATCTTCACCAACATATTCAATCAGCTTGGTTTCTGTATAAAGCTAGAAATAAACAACTATCAAAAAAATATTCAAAAGCTGTTTTCTGATAGAGTGGAGGGCTATTACTATCTGGTCATTTGTTGCTGCGGCCCAAACTGCAGTTCCTTCACACTCCACTGCTCATCAACAGCTCAGCTGTAGAGGTGGTCAGCAGCACCAAATTCCTGGGGGTGCACATCACAGACACCCTTGCCTGGACTGTAAACACCACCTCACTGATCAAAAGGGCAAAAAAAGCGCAAGTAGTTCCTGCGGAGGATGAAGAGACCCCACCTGCCCCCACCTATCCTCACAACCTTCTACAGAAGCACCATAGAGAACGTTTTGACCAGCTGTCTCTGTGTGGTGTGGAGGCTGCAGTGCCTCAGACTGGAAGAAGGTGAGAAGAGTGGTGAGGACAGCAGAGAAGATCATCAAGGCTCCTCTTCCCTTCATTTAAGACATTTTATCTCAGCGCTGCGTGTCCTGAGCCGGTTACATCATCAATGACCCCTCAGTCCCCCACCATGGACTGTTCTCCCTGCTGCCCTCTGATAAAAAGGCTTCGCAGCATTCGATGTAGGACCAGCAGGTTCTGCATGAGCAGTTTCCGTAACAGCACCCCCACCATGGGAGAACAGTTCTTCCTGAAGTCGACGATGATCTCCTTCTTCTCCACATTCAGGATCAGGATGTTATCTCTGCACCAGCCCACCAGCTGTTCCAGCTCGTCTCTATAGTCCTGGTCATTTGATTGTCTGGAAAGCTGCACTAAACGAAATTTCGATATGTATACACTCTGTGTATACAAAATGACAAAAAAAGTTGTCTAAGTCCAAGTCGTTGTCATCTCTGATGAGGCCCTCCGCCGTAGTGTCGTCTGCAAACTTTTGTCATTTTGTGATTGGTGGTGAACCTGGGGACGCAGCCATGCATCTTTAATGTTAGAGTAGACCAGGTCTAGCTAGACTGTTCTCTCCCCATGTTTCAAAGTCCACATGTTAAAAAAGATGGAGCACAGTCTTCAGATTAGCCTGGTTCACATCAAACTTGGCAGCCCCTGCACACATTTCACACGCTATGAAGGAAATCACCTCAGATGCGAGAACTAAACCATTTCAAACCTTGCCTGGCTCTGAAACCCTCTAGCTGCAGGTCAGCATCGGCATCTAAAGCTCTTTTGTGGCATATTGTGAAGATTCATCCAGTCATCCATCTCATAGTCAGTCCAAAAACTTAAAAAAAACATCCACTGGACTTTTATTTCTAGTTTCATCCAGGAAGCTTTTTTAATTCAAATGTCATACTGTAATTAGTGTTTTGTTCAAGGCTTTGTACAGTAGCCCAACAAAGTCTTGCTTTTCCTTGGAAAACATGCAAATAGAAATGGTCCACCGGGTCCACTACTTTGGAATGGGGGTCGTTTGGTTTCTGTGTTCGCCTGCAATACCGCATACCTCTCTATTGTCTTTTGTGGAGCTCTCCATGTGAGTGCATTTACCTCACTGTTCTGCGTTTGACCAGTGGACCACAGAGCAGCAGCTTTTTAAGAAAGCCGTCCCTGTGGGGCTCTCACATCAAATCAGATTAAAAATCTAGAAAATTAGCCCCTTTTAGTGAGGGAGAACAGATTTATATATACTTGATATATAAAATCAAAATGCTTGTACTGCAGGGATGGTATGACAGAACACTTTGGTGGTTAAAACAGTGAGTTTTTATTCCACGGTGCACCATCACACTAGTAAATTGCCCGTATCTAGTTTGAACTTTGAGTTTGTTATTGGTGGGAAAAAAATGTTCAGTGGCCCTGAACATGGAGCAGGATTACAGAGAAGATGGACCGCCTGCTTGTTACATCTGAAACTCAATCTTGTTATTTGAAAATATTACTTCAGGAAATAAAGCATAGTAGCATTTAATGTTCTTATATCTTTTTTTAAATCTGCTGGTGATTAAAATCATTTAAAATTAAAGTTAAATGCAGCTGAAGTTTCTATGATTTTCAACAAGGAGAATCTTTTGCTTTATAAACCTTTATGCCTCAACCTTTTAGACGGTTCCCTCCATCTTTGTTTCTACTCTGCTTTTGATTAATTGCTTTAGTTTTTTCTCTCAATGAGCCTCAATTACCCATATATCTGCAGAGAAAAGACAGCGTGTTGAAAGATTGGCTTCCATCTAGGTGTGTGAGTAAAAATAAACGGTCTTAAATAAAAAGGAAAGCGTCTAACGGCAGGGATGTATGGAATAAGCTGACTGCACCGTTCAAATGCTGGTTGTGCTTCAATTTGTGATTCTCCTGCCAACTCTCTCCAACAGCTCATTGTGGGTCTAAAAAAAGTATTTATATTCATGTATGTGTGCACGGTGCATGCGTGGTGGAGCACATTGTGGGCGAGTTGTACAGCAGATTTAAACCCCTCAGCTCTCTCCTTCACTCCTCTTGTCTCTGTTTCTCTATCTCTCTCACCCTCTCTCTCTTTCTTTCTCTGGGAGTGGAGCAACAGATTCACACTTTAAGCAGAAGAAGCTCCACTCCTGGTGAAGGTAGTAGATGTTGCTGCTGGTTCTGGGTCCCTATTGACATGTTTAGGCATTTGAACATAATTATCAGTTTCTGCTGCGCTGACCTCTTGGAAAACTCCTTCACCGGAAGATAGCCAACGTTCTTTCAGATCAAAGTAGGAGAACTTGAGAATTTAGGTCTTTCGGGTCTTTTCAGGCTAATCTTACTCGTTATTCATGTTCTGTTTATTTCTCTCTCTCTCAGGACAACTGTGCTAGAGTGCTGCTGGTCCGTGGAGCCGACAAGGAAGTGAAGAACTACAACAGCCAGACTCCATTTCAGGTAACGATGAAAAAAATAAATAAAAAAGTAACTGCAGCTATTTTTACTTCATTCTTGAGATTCATCTTCGCTCTTAGAGTGTTGGAAACACATTTATAGCCGAGGCACAATTACGTTTTCTCATTTGTTGCCATGACAACAGTGCAAAACAGCCAAGGTCAGTTTTAGTAAGGGATGCAAATCCTTTCCAGTCCAATAATGGAAATATTGTTATTAAAGTCCGTTTGCAGAATAGCAAGGGGTAAGTGAGATGTGCCTACTGGAATTTTTTCTCTTTTCAGATGTTCCTAAAGCAGTTGGATGTATTTTTGTTCTGAACTACTTAGATGCATAAAAATACTAGTTTAGCTCAGATGCACTTTGCAACAATATAAAACAAGAGCTTAAAAAAGGTCAGTGGGCTTGCATAGTGAATAAGGCATGATCATGACTTACAGTTATAGTTTCCACAAGCATTAAGAAATGCCCCTTTTATTTGGTTAAAGGCTGCTGCAAACAGACTTTTAGGAAAAAATATAAATATCTGCAGGAAATAACAGCGGGGTCTGGTTTTCCAATGCTTGCAGTCCGACTCTCTTACCATGTGGTTTTCCATTTCTCCAACATTTTGACCAAATAACATATAAATTAAATCAAAATAACAGCGCTGATCATTTAAATTGCTTTTCGGAGGACCCACCTAAATGATGAGAAAGTGAAATCTTTAACCGTGTATCAATGAAGTGACTGAGACTCAGTGCAGAGTCCCAACTGTAGGAATTTCAATCCAAACAACCAATTCAGAAACATAATATGAATAACATTATAACCACCAGCAGGTAATAAAACTATATTTTTATCATTGTCCTTGTTAAAGAGTGGAATATATTAGTTAGCAATTCAACATTTTACCTTTAATTTGATTAATTTAAAGCTTAAAGGAAACACATTTGGCCTGATCATTTGAGAACATTTAATGATGACCTCATGAATGGCTACATTTCCATAGATAAAAGCTATCAGAATAAACAGACTAAAAATATGTCATGTAAACATTCTAGTCAAAATATCTTTGAATTTGGCAGAATTGGAGTTAAACTGTTTACTCAATAGTGGTTAATGTCAATCCTATCTGCATGCATGTTAACGCTTGACAAACTGTAATACTCTATAATTCACCAAAGGCTAAATTATTATGTTCTGTAATTCTATAATGTTGGTATAAACCTGGTTAAACTGGAGTTCTTTCCTCAGAATGAACTTCCTCTGAGAGATTAATGCCAGCCAGACATAATCTTACATATTAGAGCGGAACTTGGGACTGCCCTCTTGTTGGGAGTGCCTCTTTATATTACTGTTGCTGCTATTATGTGAAGGTTTTCTGAGGGGGGGGGGGACCAGCAAAGCAAAGAGAGCTTCAAACTGATATGTTTGACTCATAACCTGTGCCCCAGTTATGAAAGAGTCTTATCCAGGCAGGCATTTACGAAAGGTAGTCCCACGGGGTCCTCGAGGTCCTCCACATCCACTCCAGTGGAGCGTTTCATTAGCTGGAGCGCTTCAGAAAGAGAGGGAGGAGAGGCTGAACCGAGATCACATCACTGCGTTAGTCAGTCTGACTTCAGCTGAAGCTTAAATTTAGCCGTTTCCCTGGAGCTTCATTTCTCTGAAAACATTTCGACATGTGAATGATTTAGATGATACTGTTCTAAACCTGTTTTATTTTATGGTTGCGTCAATATAAAAACCTACAGCATTATCTGATATTATTATTACTGTTGTAGTGAGTAGCAGCCATTACTGAACATAATTTCTTCCCTCACAGGTTTTCAGCTAGGGGACTGTGAGACAGTTGTTAAATGTTTCTGTGACCCAAGTTACAAACAATTGAGTCCAAATGCAATAATGATTAAACTAGAAAAACAATACTTTTACAGTATGTGTTATCTACCTTTACACAAGCACCAGATGCTTGAGCGGATCTGATAACTGTGGAATAATTCTTGATTTATTCAGTTTTTTTTATTTTCAGGTGAAATTTATTCTAAAACCCTTGTGGTTTGTGTTTTTTTCCTTGGATGTTAGTAAGGTTAAATATTAAAGTGTGCTGGTTTTTCTTTCTGAATAGGGGTGATTAGTTAGAAGCTATTGTTCCATTCTTTATGCTGAGATGTAGGGAAAGGAAGGAGGTTTGAAAAGGACTTTCCTCCCTAGTTTAGATAAGAGGGAAACAGAAAAACAGGTCCTTATGGTGTTTAAGATCCCCACATCCTGTCTCTGCTGTGAACGGAAAACAGTTGTCTGAAATGTTTATCTGAACATATATCTATGTCCTTTGATGAAGTGTTTCTGTTGGGAAGACTCAATGTTCGTGTGTAAGAATTCTCTATAAATGCAAAGGATGGGCAGCGACCTCGTCAGAATCACACTGAGAGCTGTATTCAGCTGTTTGTGTCATTCTCCTCTGCAGAGTAAAATAAAACCTTTTCTTCCTTGCATATCAACTCTCAGTGCTCATTTTTACTCCACACCCTCTGGGCTTAACAGGTTAGATATCCATCAGTCAGTGCCCAAACCTCTATCTGGTGATAAAACTTTGGTCATTACTCCTCTTTTGACAATTTCAAAGGCATAAATCATGCAAGATAGATTTTTTTCAAACTTTTAACAATGTTATCATGTTAGTTGTCATCATAATCATGTAATTTTGTTTGACCCATGCAGCTGAAGCGGCTCCTAATGAGCATTTAGGAATATGAGGTGCGTGACACGATTCATAAGTAGCAGATTCTGGACTTTGAAAAAAAATGATTTTTTCTGCTCAACCCCATATCAACCAATAAGAGAAGCTGATCTGTGAGCTGGCAGGGAGATAGAGACAGGACTGTTGACGCAGAGTGCTATGATCACACCCCTGAAAATGTTTATTAACGCCTAAATTAAGTAAAAACGTTGAAACCTGCCGGCAAAATATGTTTGCTTTTATTATTCTGGTGCCTGTATTTTGTAAAACATACCTCAAAAACGCTAAAATCTACTTCCAGCTGCCACCAACAGTAGGGGAAAACCCCCAAGAGTCTGAGCGTCTCCAATGTAGAGATAATATTTGAAGGCAGGATCGTAATCTAGATAAACTGACTGTAGATAATGTTTTCAGGTGTACCTTCTTGCATAAAAACATGTTAAAACTACTTTTTAGCTGTTTTAACAAAGTGGTTTAAATAAAGCCCATCTGCCATTAGAACATGAGCAGCACAAGTATCAGAAGCATTTTTACACGTTACTTGATGTGCCTTAGGGACCTCAAACATGCGCGTCTGACCTTAATGCGTACAAGCATGAAAGACGAAACAGCAGACACTTATTTGTTGCTCAAATCGCGTTCAGTGTAAATGTTGCATAAGTCGTTAAAATCTGTTTTTGGGCCTCGAGGTCTCAGACTTTGTAAATCCTTCAGAAGGGGTGCAACATCATGTAATGAGCGCCACCAAGACAGGTAGAGGCACCACAGCTGGTGCTATGTGGTCATCTTGCCCTCGCTGTTGGGTCTTTGGTGATTTCGTTGGGGTCTATAGGTGTTGGTTTGACTCCAACAGTGTCATGGTTGATGGGGCAGTGAGGACTGGTCCCCCTTGGTGTGTTGATGTTTTTGTAGACCACATACTCCAGCGGTGCTCTTCTGTTTGGTGGCCTATAGCTCTCAGGTTTGCATTATAAAGCCTGTGGGGTTTACCCTGGGCTACTGTGGGCCTATTGGAGTACGTCTTATCTGTTCTTCTTCAGCCAATTTGCTTCACTGACAACCTACCTCTGTATGGCTGCCCTGGGGTGATACCTTGTGTCCGTCTGCCTGGAGCGGTTACGGCCTTCAGTAGTCATTTGTTTATCATGAATACTGTGTGTTGCAGGCTTTCTACTGTTCTTGCTTCTTTATCAACCTTTTACCTTCAGGTACTGTTACAAGCTCGCTCACATACGCCCACTCAACAAAGACGCACATAGATCTATACATATGCTCACCCACACACACCCACACACAAATAATCCAGGTGGTCGAAGGTCATCGAAACACAGGTTGCTGTTACATCAATGAGGCCTGCCTACATTCATGCTTATTAAAGTCAATCATGCAATTAGGACTCCATCTTCAGATATTCTTCGTATAGTGGAAATCAGGCTACAAGCTTCTCTCTTCTGTAATCCTGAAATGTAGGATAAGGACAAATTGAAAAAGAAAATGGAAGAAATGATGGATGTTTTACCTGCTGCATTATTAACTGTTACATACAAGTGCTGTTCAGAGCTCCAGCTTTCAGTTCTGTCTCTTCTCCACACTTTTTTAGAGCAACGCTACTGACAAGCTAAACAAATCAATAATTGACATCCTGACTTCAAGTCATATCAAAAGTCTGGCCCATAAGTGTTTACAGATATTAACCTAGTTACCCTTGATGGAGCTGATCAGGATTTAAATTGAATGACCAACAACAACCATTGAATTGAATTTAAAGTTGAGATAACTTGATCTTGATACTCTGTTTATAGTAACAAGTAACGTTACACATGTAGGTCACTATACAAGCTGCCACAATACTTATGTATTAGTGGTCCCACAGTGGGGAAAACACAGGCTTTTCTACAGCAGGTACAAATTAAAAGATTACAGCTTTGAAGTTTATGAAACAAGAGACAGGTTGTGGGTTCGATGCCCGGCCTTTCTGCATAGAGTTTGCATGTTCTCCATGAGCATGCGTGGGTTTTCTCTGGGTACTCCGGCTTCCTCCCACAGTCCAAAAACATGACTGTTAGGTTAATTGGCTTCTCTATATTCTCCTTAGGTGTGAGTGTGAAAGGTTGTTTGTCTCTGTGTTGCCCTGCGATGGACTGGTGACCTGTCCAGGGTGGACCCCGCCTCTTGCCCATAGATAGCTGGAGATAGGCACCAACACCCCTCGCCATATGTATTTCTTTACTGTTTTCAAGGCTGCACTTATAAAAAAAATGAAATTGTCTAGAGAGCT